AGTGAACACACTCACAAAACTAGCACCCAGTGCAAAAAAAAGTGAAGCACACAAAAGTGCACAGGGTGTATGTCTGGTCCTCCTCCTAAGAGAAAGGGCCCTAGCCCTGATCCCCCGGGGAGCAAGGCTCCTAACGGGGAATGAGGCACTCACTAGAACCACCCAGCCGAAACCTTTGGACCCCTTTCTTCAAGAGGCCTGCCGAAGCTAGGCCACTCTGAGTACTAAATGGGGCACCCTAAAGGGAGACCCCATGAGAAGAGGAGACCCTGACCAAAAGGCCACATGCCTACCCCCAAGACTTTCAGGGCAGGCCCGAGGACCTACACCCTACTAATCGGGAAAGTGAGTACAGTGCAGTGCAAAAGTGCAAGTGACAAACAAACATAAACAAACAGAAGTGGAAAAGTGCTATAGTGCCATATACTAAGGCGGCCGTTTGGCCAGGAAAAAAAATGAATCTGTTCCTGGCCAAAAGGCCCGGCCCTAGAGGCAGGTGCAAACAAAGCGTGACTGGTGTAGTGACCAAGTTGCCTAAAAACTCAAAGTGAGCCCCCGCACCATGAGAATTCTGGCACCCCTGGACTGCCACTCCAGGGGCACATACACCAAGGGCTTCTTTCTCAACCTGGCCCTCGGCCAGACCAGTGCAACCCCATCCCTCCCAGAAAGGCATCAGAACTTAGAAAGGTTAGGGAGAGCCTTGCCTACAACCGGGGACAAGCCTGGTGCACCAGGCCAGAATCAACCTGGAAGGAAAAGGTTCCCCTACCACTCTCACCATTCCCACCTAATTATATCCGGGATATACTATCTGACTCCCCAGCTGGTGAAGGGAGGCAGGGTTCTATTCCAGACACCTGATAAGAACAGATACAACAGACAGGCTGAGAAGCGAACTTAAGTTTTGGATAGAGGGGAGATGGATTAGAATTTGTCCATTTTTTATTGCTGTCTGTGTCTCCGTTAGGGAGATTCACCCTACTAGTCCTGTTAACTTTCAACATTGAAAGTGACAGTAAAGGAAAAACACAAATTTTGGGTTGTCCCCAGAAAAGTAATAGAGGGGTAATCTTCCAATGTTCTGGTGACCTGGAGGCCCCCAACAGATTCCCTCTATTTGCAAGGATTTCCTCTCACTTCCAGTATGGCTAGGGGACAGGACTTGAAGTTTAAATCTCCCCAATGAGACAAAGATGGCAAAAATAAACCTTACATGGGTTATAACCCTCCCTTATTTTATGCAAAATGAAAAAAAAAATGTTTTGCCTATAGTTCTACTTTAAGTAAGGGAAGGAACCCAAAATGATTGCTCCATTTCTGCTATCCTTTGAACCTCAATCTACGAGTAGCAAATTTGGCTTGTATTAGAGCTGAAAACTCTTGACAGGAGTACTGAGGAAAGAAGTTATATACCCTACCAGCCCCTCCCACTAGCTAGGATCTGGCTGCTTTTCATGGAAAGGCACAGGGTCCCAATGATGACTTCACAAAAATCTGATTAAAATCGAAAGGTTATCTAAAAATTGCATCATGTTGACAAGAGGAGAAAAGAGGATGAAGCAAAAAAGCAAACTGTAGGTAGATTAAACTTAGCTTAAAATAACTTGGCACAATAGAAAACAGGGCTTTTTTCCTTGTCCATGTGCCCCCCCCCCCCCCCACACACACACACCAAACAAATATTGCAATTTATCCTAATTAGGGGAGTGATATCACAGGGATCAGGAAATTCTGACCCCATATACCTCCGGACCAGTTACATAAAAAAAAAAAAAAAAGAATTCCCCTAGTGTCTTGCGCATCACTCATCTCTTATATTTAGCGATGGCACACACTGGAAAATATCTGTACAAGAACAGTAATTTCTTCTATAGAAACAAGGAAAGAAACTTTTCATCTCCCTGTATGGCACCTGCTTGTCGATCAGGCAGAGATCATCATACAGCAAAGACCATCAGACCCCCTGGGCTGTGTTTGTCTTTGGTCATACTAACGTATTTTACCAACTGTTGTTGAGGGAGACCTGGACATAAGTTTCAGCTGTATTTTCCTGATATATAGTACGAATAAGAAAAATAAACAATTTGTTACTTATTTGCATAACTGGAAGAAACATGGAAATCTTGCACAATATGTTCTCAATCTATTAGGAATTCAGTCAGAACAATAAAAGAGGCCCCAATATCAGGAAGGGATGTCTTTACCAGTTTTAGAGCGTTCAACCAATAAGAGAACAAGCAGAAAAATGATCTTTATAGTATATAGTACAGAGGAAAAAAGTGGCCGGCTGGTTGTCCTAAAAGGAAAAATATATTGGGTAGCCTACACCAAAGGAATAACAGATTGTTAAGGTTAGGCTCCCCCTTAGTGATTGGATTCATCATAACTGCAGCCTTTCAGCAGGTTTGTATATGCCTCAGAATCCTGCAAGGGCCTTTCAGAAAGTTCACATACAGGAGGTGCAGTAACCCAGGACATATCTACAACCAAAACTTACACAGTTCAACATTAGAAGGGGAACTCCTTGACTTGAGGCATCTCTATTTCCAGTAGCTCCAAACACTATACAAGGGGCCAATGCTGCACCAGGCCCGATTGGTTGGTCTTCTTCAACTAATGGGAAACCCAAGAGTTTTACCTCTCCTTCCCCTACCTCCCCTTCCCACGTCTTCACTACAAAGCCCATTACAAATCTTACTCACTCTTCAATCCAGCAGATTCCGACACAGAGGAGCTGATTTACTAAAACTGGAGAGTGCAAAATCTGGTGCTGCTATTCATGGTAGCCAATCAGCTTCTAAGAAGCTTGCTTAATTAATCTTTGACAAAAAACTTGGAAGCTGATTGGTTTCTATGCAGAAATGCACTACATTTTGCAGTCTCTAGTTTTAGCAAATAATAATAATAATGCAATCCACACCCAACTTGACCCCATAATGTCAAGTTGGGTGTGGATTGCATTTTAGCACTTTCCCTTCAGCATAATTTGTCAGCAAAAATATTGATGTCATAAGAAGGCTTTGTTAACGTGGTGATTTAAGGGAATAGAATAAACATCTAGTATAATATTTAGTGCTCGGGTGTCCACAGTGACATTATTATTAATATTGTTATTATACAGGATTTATACAGCTCAGCGCTTTATAATATAACGGGAGACAATAAAGCAACAATACAGTTCAATACAGGAGGGATAGGAGGGCCCTGCTCCTTGGAGCTTACAATCTAGGAGGGACATGGGTGCTCATTCAGAAAATGGAGAGAATGGGAACCAAGTTTAAAATGTAGATACAATTGTGCAACACCCACACTGTGGCCAAACTGTAGCACTCCGGTGTGAACCTTAAAATGGGAAATTATACACACATTGATTTGATCATTTACAACAAGCGGATCTGTTTTACAACTCTTTAAAAACTTGATACATTCTATACATTCCTTTTACAATTACCAGCTTTAAAGTGGTTGTTCTCATGCATTCTATGCATAAAAATAAAAACCTTCTGTGTGCAGCAGCCCCCATTATACTTAGCTGAGCCTCTTCGCAATCCAGCAATGTGCATGAGAGCCTCCAGGGACTCTACCTCCTCATTGGCTGAGACAGCAGTGGGAGCCATCGACTCCCATTGCTGTCAATTACAACCAGTGAGTCAATGAGAGAGAGGGGATGTGGCTGAGCCACAGCTCTGTGTGTGAATGGACATGCAGAGCAGTGGCTTGGGAGCGATGCTGCTTGGGTGCCCCCATAGCAAGCTGCTTGGCATTTGGCAGGAGGGAGGGACCATGAGTGTCGATGGAGGAGCCAAGAAGAGGAGGATCGGGCTGCTCTGTGCAAAACCACTGCACAGAGCAGGAAAATATAACATGTTTATTTTTTTTAATTACAGTGTGTAATAGGGAATTAGGTAAGTGGTCAGTTACTGCACAGGCCCTAGACAAGGCAGAGGGCCCCGGGCGAAATAGTCCAATACCCAGAAGTGCCAGCTGTAGCCATCTATTCAGAGCTTTTCATCAGAGTAGATGCTGGGCGGATGCAGATGCTGCTCTGACTAAACGTTCTTTACAGTCGGTGGAAATATGAGTGGTAGTTTGCGCACTTCTTGCAGTGGCTGTGCGAGTATTAGGGTTGCACAGCCGGAAGTTGTACTGTTGTGCAGAACAGGAACCCAAATTGAGTACAGGGTGTATGGGGGACTAGAGACAAGGCTGCAACGTGCGGTAATGCTCTCCCCTTAGGCGGTACCTCATCTTCGATGGATAGGTGACTGTTGGTAGGAAGTGGGCGAATACGCTCCAAGGAGTCATTTCCATTCAATGCTGGTTTGCTTTTTACTTCTGGTGAGTGCATAGTGGTGGAGGAGTATCACAGAAGTCACAGTTATTACTGATTACTACTGGTTCACATCACATTTTAGACTATTTTCGGTCATTCTTGGCACACAAAATTTTTTTTTTACTTCATAGTGAATTATATTCACATTTTTGCTATTCATATGTTGGACATTTATTTTTGGTCATTATTCTTTTCATCATTTTGTTACACTACAATATTGTCTGGTAGCAGATAATATTCAATTTCACTTACTTATATCAGCGCTGCACCTTTTGTTTATATGTTTGTATAATGGAAGCAGTGGGTTTGCCACATTGTGCCAGCTGCTTCCTCTTTTTTCCTTTTGCGCTCACTGTTCACACTTTTTGCTACATCTACAGGGCTTGTTCTCATGTGCCTTGCCTTTTGAAGAGGGATCTGCATTCAGATTGCTCTTCAGAGAGCATTTAACAGGAGCTGAGCTGGCACTGAATTGCTTTTAAACACCCTAAGGGCTTGTTTAGACGAGCAGTTGAAGACAGTAGCCTCCCTGGCAGTATTCCCGAGTGTAGCTCGGGGTAAAGTTTCAGTACCACAAGTGGTAACCCCGAGCTACACACTCGGGAATACCCTGCAGCGCTGCTCCAGGATCCCTCAATCACTTACCTTGTCCTGCGCTCCTGCGATGTCCCTCCTGCAGTGTCCCCAGCAATGTAATCCGGCGGATGCCGGCATCTGTCATCTGGGTTCCGTCCCCTGCGAGCGTCGGGACATACGGGGAACGGAGGGAAATTTGAAAATGAAAAAAAGTGACATTCACTAAAATCGCATAGTATAACATTCCTGTATCAAAGCATTTCACATACATTTTGTCCTGAGTGCTTTGTCCTGTGCCCTGCCTGCATTTTTACTGTTCTTTCTGCCTGGAAACTGAGAAATGTCCATGGTGTCCAAAAAAAGTCCCTTTAGGTCAAAAGCGGTTTTATACTGGCTAGAGAACAGCGATAATAACTTAGAACCACTTGCAGAATTGAGTGATAATGATTTGTGGGGAAATTCGTCATCAGACACTGAAAACGATTTTGCGACTTTGCTCAGTGATGTGCGAACTTGGCGATATATTTCAAATTTCAGTGCTTTTGGTTTGATTATATTATTGAATTAAATGTATTATTATATTATTATTATTTTTTTATGAAAATATTAAATTATAATTTATGAGTTCGTGTTTCAAGTTTTATCCTACCCCGGGATGTTAACTAGACTCTTGTTCGGATAGATTTCAGTGAGTTATTCCTAAAAATTACAGGCCTAAAATAAAAAAAATACATATTTCCATGCAAAAAAATTTACCACTTTGAGCACAGAAATATGGACATAATCAGACCGCTAGGGAGGTTAAAAATGCACGATTGAGCTGTGTTTTTAGCCCCCCCCCCCCAAGCTGCAATGGCAGCAAATGAGGTGTTCACATGCCATAGTTGTGGTGCTTCTCCTAATACCTGCAGACAAAATTATCTACTATATCGCCTCCTCCACTCTTCCTACCACCCAATCGGTGGGCAGTAAGCTTGCCAATTCAACCCACTCAAGTGAATGGAGAAGCGCCACAAGCACCCCACAACCATGTGCAATGCATGGTGATAATCTTCACCTACATACGCATTTTAACTGTAGTTGGGGCAGGTTTGTTCAGGCAACATGGAGTTAAAACAGGTGATGAAAAGGCGTCACATTGGGGTTTATTTACTAAAGCTGGAGAGTCCAAAATCAGACTCCCTTCTGCATAGAAACCAATCAGCTTCTAAGCTCAGCTTGTTCAATGAAGCTTTGGCAATGAAACCTGGAAGCTGATTGGTTTCTATGCAGAAGTGAGTCTGATTTTGCACTCTCCAGCTTTAGTAAATAAACCCCATTGTGTCCACAATACCTGTCAATCGCCTCTGAAAAGAGATCCAAATGTGGCTAGCTAGCTAGTCATAGAAGGGTAGCAGACCTTCTTAGAATACCGGGCACTAAGGCATCCTTTTATCATTGACTAAATTGCCATATAATTTCTCCAAGACTTAGCTGATGATACATAAGTGGGGAGCATCCGGCTTCCTCTGTGGAAAATGGGACAGATACCTCAGCAAATGTTCATATTCAGGCCAAATACCCTCAGAGAAAGTCTAAAATGACCTTCCTGCGATGATAATCTTCACAAACATATGCATTTTAACTTTTTGTCCAGTAATCTCATTAATGGACATGGCAGACAGTATCTAGTAGGCCTTGTTTAGCCTATGATGGCTGATAACAATGACTGAAAGGCTAAACTTGGGCTTAACAGCTTGTAAATGATATATTTAGCACTAGATTTAATCTATGCAATTATGGTGATGGAATCACTTTAAAGAAGGATTGATGAGGCAGGGACACAATTAAAAGGCATTATTTATTCAGCAGCCAGTAGTTTATTTATTTATCCTGACACTTAGTCCCAGATAAGAGAGCCGCTTGTGTGATGTGAGCCTGATCTTTCCAGAACAACACAATTTCCTATAGGATCAGGTTCCATTTCCACAGGACAGGTAAGATAATAGCACTCCCTCCCCAGCCTCGGGTTTAAACTGAAACACACATGCAAGAAAAGGAAGGGCAACCCAAGATAACATTCGAAATCTGCAGTGATCAAACATGTCCGGTACAAAAAAACTAAAAGAGATTGGGGTTGTTCAGTTTGCCTGTTGTTTTCGGTAACACACATGTAGTTAACATGCCCTGCCTTTGATGTGGTTTGCAATTTTATTTTTTGATGGGGGCAGACTAAAAACGCAAAATGCGTAATAAATGCATCAAAATTGCACTACATGCATTTTCTGCAACGTTTCCATTGAAGTCTATTGAACTAAAAATGCAATGTTTTGTGTTTAAAAAAGTCCCTGATCCTTTTAAAAAATGCAGCGGCTCAAAAAAACATAAATGTGAATGTGCCCCATAGGAGACCATGTTATTTATTTATTACAGGTACTTATATAGTGCTGTCAATTTACGCAGCGTTTTACATATATATATTGTACATTCACATCATTCCCTAACCCTTAAGGAGCGTACAATCTAAGGTCCCTAACTCACACTCATACATACACATACTAGGGCCAATTTAGATAGGATCCAATTAACCTACCAGCATGTCTTTGGAGTGTGGGAGGAAACACGGAGAAAACCCACGCAGGCACAGGGAGAACATGCAAACTCCAGGCAGGAGGTGCCATGGCTAGGATTCGAACCAACGACCCTAGTACTGCCAAGTGGAAGTACAAACCATTTAGCCACCGTGCTGCCCACAATGAACTGAAGTGCGTTTCTGCAAAACGCACTAAAAAACACATTGGTATGCACCAGTCCCAATGCTCTACAAAACAGGAAAACAGAGGATAGGCCATTTTACCAGTATTCAACCAAAATAACTCAGTTTTGGTGGATTTGGCCTTTACTTATGGCCTGCTCACACCAACAGCGGCGCTAGAATGCAGGCGTTGGTGTGCAGTTGGCTGTTTTGTTTTTTTCTTTAAATGCAAAGTTTATTAAAATGTCATAATGTGACATTTCTATTAGCCACAACGCAGTACAATGCAGTCACGAAAAAAAAGTTCAGTGTGAACTGGGCCTTTGGAAACCAGGCATTTTTGCCTTGTCCTGCATTGGGACTTTGCTGGGCAACCTTGCGGTGAACAAGTTCTTATACCTGGTTCACACTAGCCCACACGCTGCAGGCTGGTTGCGGATGCTCTTGCTAGACGAGCATTCTGAATGGCACCCCCACGTATCTCAGCCCACAGCAGGTGCAGGAACCGCAGGGAAACCACATGGTCATGTTTTTAAAAATGTGCATGCACCTTTTTTGTGCAGTTCATGTGGCACATCAGCCCATTCAAGCAAAGCGGGCCACACAGCCAGCAGTAGCGTGGACCAGGCCTTAGAGGAAAGAAACTTGCAGCATAGTGAAATAAATGTTAAAAAAAAATTGTTACTCTATATTAGGCCACAATTGCATCTGTACGCCACACTAAATGATGGGGTAAGGCTTATGAATGGAAGGAGTGGGGCTAGCCATCAAATTGGGTAGCAGTTACACCACCATGTACAGGATTAGCCTAGCATTTAGAGGCCTCACAGGAACTGATCTGAAAATGAACAAAGCTGATGTGGATGTTGCACCCCCTGGAGGGTTAGGGTGTGATGTGAATGTACAATATATATGTAAAGTGCTGCGTAAATTGACAGTTCTATATAAGTACCTGAAATAAATAAATGTTGCAGGCCAATCAATCTGTTGAGCAGAGTTTTTATGTTTCTGAGTTAAATTCAGTGCACTCAGTAATCAGCACTCAGTAGTTTACTTAAAGTACTGGCCAGACACCCGATCCTTTCTCTTTAGCACAAGGTTATTTTTTACTAACATTAAATAACACAATAGATTGTGTAACAGTGATATCAATCATGACATTCTTTTTATCAAAATATGAGTTTTTGCTTAAAGTTGATTTGAATTAAAAAAGTAAAGATTACTATATTATAGGGAACATTTAGAAATGGTTATTGTGCCTAAGCAGCACACTGTAAAAAAATAAACAGTGAAAGTTCTGACATGTAACTGCCTAGGTGCTCCTGTAGCGTATATCAGCAAGCTGTGAGCTCATCCAGGGCCACTGATTGTAAGTCTCAGGAGATTTGAAGCGAGATTTGGTGATGTCTCTATGTGCTGGTTACTGTTCTCCTTGCTGGAGAGGAAGCTGGATGTGACAACCTGCACCACATGGATTTCCCTGCTTCTACCTCATTAATTTTGTGGATCTCAGCATTTTGAACTTCTGTTGCTTCTTGATTATTACGGCACCAGATTACCAGTCATAAGAGATCAGTTCTGACATAATGAAGCAGAACCCTGCCTCTACTAAGATTGCCACTTCCGCAGGGTGGAATAAGAAATAGTAAGTCAGATCGGCTGCAGAGAGACCACAGGAAATACTGGTAACTAGTCCCTTGCCACCTACTTGCCATTTTTGGGCAAAGATTCCACATAATATGTAGGCAGGTGCAGTCCTGCAGTCTCCACTGCAGGTGGCACTCAACCTCAGCCACATTGTAGAGGGAGAGGAAGTCAAGGGGAACATACTCCTCTATATTTTTATGGGTCACTGGGGACACAATCTGGTTGGATACTGCTACCCCATGTGACTCTAGCGGAAATCTTTGGTTAGGCAGAATCTATTTAAGACCCTATCTCCCAGACCTGGCATGCAATTTGTGAGTGGGACAGGTCACCCGTCTGTCAAGGAAAGTGAATGGTGGTAGGGAAAAGTTCCAGATGAGTAGGGACAGGATAGGGACACGCCATCCTTCCTGGAATCCTCCCATTTGGGTGTAGATTGGCCAGGCTGCATTCGGCCTCTGAGTCAGATGCTGTCAGCACAATCAAGATCCACTTTATTCTACATTGCCAAGCCATACTGCGAGTGTTGCAGGTCGGGTGCCTTCCCCACTGGGCTGTTTGTAAACGGACTTTTCATCAATACTTGTTCTATTTTTGCAACTGGACTCTGTAATTACTGCCGCTGCACCGCGCTGCACCTCCCAACAAACAGGTTCCCTTTAACTGAGAGCAACAGGTGGTAGAACATAGTACTGAGTAGTTATAGAACATTGCACTTTACAAAAACGCGCATGCCTGATATACCTTTAGATTTGCCATTTACCTCTCAAGAATGAACCCACAATATTACATTTATAGTGTCATTCAGCAGCCGTTCTTCGATATCCAGATTTGAAAGGAAAATGAAATTGCTCAGAGCTGGCTGACATCACAAGCCACATATTGTTTTGCTTATGTGACAAACTTACTGAGCAAGGAATGTTTTGTTCGGGCATATGGGAACCAGCACAAATTAAATAGTAACACAATAGGAGGTACAGGCAGCACCCACCCATTGTTAAAAAGTAGGGAGGGGAACACGCTTTAAAGGGAAATACAAGCTATAGAACTTTCATGAAACATGATGTTGACCTAATTATGTGACTTGCACGATAAAGGCCATGTCTCTGAGGAAATCTCTTGTCTTTTCCTCTACCCGCATATTAGCCTGATATAACCAAGCGGTTAGTAGATCTGGATTTTATAAATATTTTGCAAAACTCATGAATACAACATGACATGATCATAATACAATTGCTTAGCAATGTACACAAACCATGGACACCATATCTTCAACATGATCACTAAACTTGAGCATAAAAATGTACAAGTATATTACATTTTTCTCGTTCACAAGACACCTAACTCCAGCATGACCTGCACACGATACTTAACCTCCCTAGCGGTATGATTATTTCAGATTTTTGGTGCTGAAAGCGGTACCATTATTTTGCATGGAAATATGTAGTTTTTTTATTGTAGGCTGTAATTTTTAGGAATAACTCACTGAAATCTGTCCGAACAAGAGTCTAGTAAACATCCCGGGTATGATAAAATTTGAAACACGAAATCATAAATTATAATTTAATAAATAATCATAAAAAAAAATAATAATAATACATTTAATTCAATAATATAATCAAACCAAAAACACTGAAATTTGAAATAGAGCGCCAAGTTCGCACATTGCTGAGCAAAGTCGCAAAATCGTTTTCAGTGTCTGATGACGAATTTCCCCACGAATCATTATCACTCAATTCTGCAAGTGGTTCTGATTTACTATCGCTGTTCTCTAGCTGATCTAAACCTGCTTTTGACCTAAAAGGGACACCTTTTGGACGCCATGGACATTTCTCAGTTTCCAGGCAGAAAGAACAGACAAAATGCAGGCAGGGCACAGGACAAAGCACCGGGACAAAATGTATGTGAATGGGTTGAAACAGCAATGTTTTACTATGTAAAATTTGTTTGGAAAAAAAAATTAAATTTTTTAAAATTTTCAAATTTCCCGCCGGCGCTCGTACGTCCTGACGTCACAGGGACCGGAACACAGAAGCCGGATGCCGGCATCGGCCTAGGAGATTGCCGGGTTTGCTGCAGGGGACACATCGCGAGAACGCAGGACAAGGTAAGCTCTGCAGGGAATCCCTATGCATCGCCGCATGGTAAGCCCGAGTGTAGCTCGGGGTTACCGCTTTTGGTACTGACATTTTACCCCGAGCTACACTCGGGAATACCGCTAGGGAGGTTAAAATGACAAATGTGCTTTAATTAACCTATATTTTTCAAAGGTAATCCATCATGAAGCAAAAAAAATCCATGTGATTATGTACCTTCTAACCTTCTGAGCACAAAGTATGTAGAGAAAGGATACAACCTGACCACCCATACCATAACCTCAATTACGAGGTCCGCAATATGCGAATAGACAAAAGATTATGGGTTAAACCCACAAGTACTATTTTCACCCTTTATATGAGATGTGACAATTTAATTCCCAGAATACCAGCGCCATAGCGCTATGGTGATGTGTAATTCGCACTCCAGTGTGTTCCGACATGTTCTGACTTGCACTCACCTGGGTCACAGACCAGTTGACTATGTCCTTATGGAAGTAGTAGTAGAAATAAAATGTGTATGTGTTGTGCTATTGGCCTAAATGAGTGACTGGATCAGTGGATTAACTTCAAATTTTGTGTGAAGATTGGCAAAAATGGAAGTGAAACTTTAGTTTTGTTACAGCAGGCTTAAGGTGAACATTCCGTAAAGAAATCAAGTATTTTTGAATGGCATAGGCGGAGTTAAGTAGTAGAAGAAATAACATGTGTGCCTTGCGCTGTTGGTGGAAAATGAGTGAGAGGAATCTGAAGTAGTGGATTAATATCAAATTTCGGATTAAAATTAGCAAAAGAGCAAATTAAACTTTATCTCTGGTACAAAGGCCTTATGGTGAAAATTTCATGAAAAAATCAAGTGTTTTTGAATGGCATAAGCAATTTAGGGAGGGGTAGGAAGATGTCCATAATGAAATGGTCAACCAACATTGCTACTTGGAAATTCTGAAAAGGTTATATGTTCGGAGAAAAAGACCAGAACTCTAGCCTGACAAATGGATTCTCCAAGTGGATTCTCAACCGTGACAATGCTCCTGTATGTGATGAGTTAAGTGCTTGCGAGATCCTGGCCCAGAAATCCATTCTGAAACTTGACCAACCATTTTATTCCCCTAACTTAGCCTTCTGCAATTCTGGCTGTTTCCAAAATTACAAAATGCCTTAAAAGGACACATATTTGATGAGATTTCAGACATCCAGCATTTAGAAAAGTGAGTCTCTTCACAAGGGGACTATTGTGAACATGATAACAACTGCTAGTGTATAGGTAAGCAAACATTTTTATTTTACAGTCCATTCTGGGAATTAAATTGTCACACCTTATACATACAAACAGACCACTGACATAAAAAAAAACCCAAGAGGATCATTGAGTCTGTTCCATGTACTTTGCTGTACCATTCATTTTAAAAGGCACCCAACGCACCCAAGGCAACATGACTAAGTGGGTTGCGGTATATTAGAAAAAAAGGGTCATATATGATTTTTGCCACATTACAGTGCATTGGCAGCCAATTCATTCCAATAGGTAACATAGTCACCTAGACATTTAGTTCTCCTGGCAGCAGAAAAATGCTAAACGTGTCAAAAACGTTTGTAAACGTGGTACCAAGTTTAGCACTTGGACTGCTATTCATATGATTGGCCAGAGTATTTTCCACTGACATGAACAAATGCCCAAGTGCTAAACATGTTCAGCTTTTTTGGCCAAAATGTTCCCTCACCTGAACGTGATTCTTCTGCATTCAGGAGAAGAAGGTTTAACTGCCCCTAAACTCTGGTAAAAACCTATTTGTATATAGACTTCAGGGCTTTGGAAAAAAAAAATGTCAAAACTCACGTTCAGGAGCAGCAGAGTACATGAGGCCTTAGGAACAAAGAGGGTCAGAGAGGTTTGTTCTAAAAAAGGGACAGTTCCTCCAAATGAAGGTCAATGGAAGCTTTGTGACTAGGATCTGAATAAAGCAGTCATTGGTAGACTCTTGCTGCAAACTAGTGAAAAAAGTGGAGGATCCATGAATAGGTTTAAATTCACAGCCCCAAAACTCCTCTGTAAAACATTGATTAAAGTAGAACACCCCATCACATTTATTTAATGGAATTCCCTCCTGTATAAAAAAATACTAATTTCTACTTACCCTGTTAATGGCTCAGCACTGCCCTCCAATCAATGCTGGCAGTCGTCTTCGGGCAGCACAACAGTCATGTTGTGAGCTCATCTTGCCGTTTACATATCCCCTTGGGGCAACGTCATCGCGCAGGCTGTGCTCAGAGTAATTCAGGACTGAGTGATGCTCAAACATCATTACCTGAGTACTATTCAGTTCATAAACAATGCCCCCATTGGTGCTGGAGTATGTAGAGGAAGCTAGCCTGATGTCACCAGACTAGTTTCAGAGGTGGGAGGTAGTCAATCCTGTCATTCTGCTATAAAATAGCTGCTTCCACCAAAGTCTAATCACACAAATTTCTGGCTCTGTGTCAGATTCCCTTCAATGATACCATCACCAGAGGTGGTCCTAATAAAACTGCATTACTGCTATAGATTTACACACATAAAAGAGAAGTGAAAATTGTAACAGTTCAACTATATCTCAGGAAATTTCTTCTGCTTGATTTTCTTGACTCAAAGTGAACTGAAAGAACTGTGGGAAATACTGGACAATGTCAGACGACCTATCACATGGGACTTACCAAAACGGGAGAAAACTCAATCCATATTACCAATTTCCATCTGCCTATATCAATAAGCAAGAACTCAGCAAGGCACAATAAATATTTCTGAGCATTTTCCGATTTACCAGATTCAACATTTGTACAAGAAGAAAGTTCTGCAGCCTAAGCCCAACACAGATGTTAAAGAGGACTTCTGCTCTAACAATTCTTCTAGCAGCTTATTGTTTTTTACACTACTAACAGATGTATAAAAATATATTAAAGTAGAACTAAAGGCAAAACCTTTTTTTTTTGTAGATTTAGATAAAGTGGAGAGGGATTAGAACCCCTGTCAATTTTTCATTGCTGTCTGTGTTCCCATTAGGGAAATTCACCCTATTTCTCCTGTTTACCATTATCATTGGAAATAAAAGTAAAAGAAAATCCCAAATTTTGGGTTGTTCCCAGAAAGAGGGGGAACCTTCCAATGGGGATACTTGTTCAGGAGACCTGGGGGTCCCCAAGGCATTGCCTCAATTTAACTTCTTGTTTGGCTATGGGACAGGAAGTGAAGGAAAATCTCTGCACAGATGGCTAAAAAAAAATGATAGGTTAACCCTCCCTTACTCTTCCAAAAAAGAAAAAAATATTTTGCCTATAGTTCAACTTTAGGCACATCCAACTCCCTGCTACTATGTTTCTGTATCTAAATAATAAAAATGAAATGTAATATACAGCATGACAGTTTATGTTTCATGTATGAAAAGCATTCCAGTGTTCTTTGTAACCATCTGGCTACCATCCGATTTTCTGAAAATGTACAGTTTGGTTAGTATGAACAAGAGGAACATTTATCTGCCACCTTCTCTGATAGACCAATCCAATTGGGACCTCACTGTTGCCACTATTTGTTAGTGGAATATTGTACAGTATACTTACACTGCGCCTGCTTCAGTTCTGTACACTTAGAACTCAACTGATCGCAGAACAGAGTGACAGCTTGCCCTACTCTTCTCATCACTGGTTCTAGGAATATGGACACAATAGTCTCTTTAAGCCTCCTGCCCCATGACATCCAATCCTTTTACTATGATACTAGGCTGGGGGGGGGGGGGGGGCGACACAAGACATTAGAGGGGTGGAAAGGACAAACCTGGCCCTACTCATTAGGTCATCAGGAAGGATGAAGATAACACTTTGGTAGCATTAATCTTTAAAAACAAGTGAGCAGTTCCCTTCAACAATGGCTTCTGTCTTCTAGACTGGAAAGTGTGGCATTTGAAATGGTGCTAAAGTTTAACTCCTGTAGCGAACTTCATTTAGCAATTCAAGATCCCTCCTCCCCCCGAGGTTCCATTAAACTACTGACTAATTTTAATGTATAATGAAGAAGACCCAGTGTGGTCATCAGAAAAAAATGTGCTGTTTCCTGGTATTGGGAGGAGGACATTAGCTGTTGGTTCAAGTCATATCTGCACAGGAAAAGAGCTATGAGGGGGAAATGCTGGACATGATGGGCGTAACAGACCAGGAGTTTCCTGGCCTGTCAAAGTGTGAGGTCATGGTGGGTGTGACATACCAGCAGTTTCCTGGCCTATCACTTAGGGCCGGTTCACACTATAGAAATGCAGTCCAGGGGCGTTAGGGTGCATTTCTTACCACGTTCCAGTACAGTTCTGTGCAGAAAAAATGCAGCATGTCCTACTTTTTTTCTGCAACCAGAAGTCACTGCAGCTGCAAGCACTGATGCGAACTATGACATTGACAAGCATATAACCTACTTAATGTGCGTTTTGGATGCAGAAAAAAAGCAACTGAAAACACATGTAGTGTGAACTGGCCCTTAAACAACGCACTACAAGTGGGTGGATCAGAGAGGGAGTGCGCAGCTGTTCTGGTCCACCCACTACAGTAATTACGCATCCACTCACTGAAAACCAACCTACAGAGGGGGGTGACTAAAGGAATAACAGGTATAGGAGTCACCAGTCTTAGAAAACAGAACTGAAGGGGGCAGAACCCTTCTTGTGAATGACTCCAGCAAGTTGGAGGATGGCTGAGCATTAAAAAAAAAAAAAACGACATTTATTTGTATTTATCTAGCACTGACATTCTAAGCAGTGATTTTACATATTGTATATTCACATCAGTCCTTGCCCTCGAGGCGCTTCCAATCTAAGGTCCTTATCTCACATGTATACATACAAGTACTTGGGCCAATTTAGACAGGAGCCAATTAACAACTACTAGGGGTGTGAGAGGAAACCCACTCAAGCATGGGAAGAACATGCAAACTCCATGCAAATAGTGGGGTTGAGTTACTAAAACTAGAGTGGAAAATCTGGTGGAGCTGTGCATGGTAGCCACTCAGTTTCTAACTTCAGCTTTTCTTTGGCAATAAAAGCTTTGACAATAAAACCTGGAAGCTGATTGGTTCCTATGCATCTAGATTTTGCACTTTCCAGTTTTAGTAAATCAACCCCAGTGTCTTGACCGAGACATCGAAGACCCTGTGCTGTAAGATACAACAGATAACCACTATGCCACCGAAAGGACCTTTCCAAAACTGCCATAGTAGTCTTTCTCTACTTTAGTGCCAATTAGTATATTTTTGTGATGTGGGAAAAAGTGAAGTCTCAAAGGCAAATCCATTCAAACATCAGAACATACAAACTCCATGTAGACGACAATGAGCCCAGGACTACAGAGATGGTTAGCTACCCTACTGTCAGAGTGGAATGTGCCACAGTAAAAATGTTCACGTGAAAGTAGGATTACTGATGCCACAGTGCCATACCCTGCTCATCATTCTTATCTACAGCAAACATATGCCCAAATGAGTGACTGAGGAATTTTGGTACGTCCTTGGGAAAAAAAAAAAAAAAAAAAAAGATTGTTTGAACGTCACGCTTTCTCTTGATTAGAGCCAGATCATTCTGGACTGCAGCCGGTACATCCAGCCCCGTACATGTGATCTGAAGACCTGGACTTGAAATTCATGACTCTTCACAATTGTGCTTGGCAAATCTTTTACTGCACATCTGCTATAAAGTTAACTGAACATTTCCTTTCTAGCAGTCCCTGTGTACATGTTTGCTTCAAATGACACCTTTGATCTGGCCAGTAAGCCATCTACATCTCAAGGGCTTTTGTAGTTGAGAAGAGGAAAAAGATAGTTTGAAGGGTGCTAAAAATTACTGTCATTACATTAGTACAGCCCTTCCTGGATGTTTCATCAGCGCATCAACAACAGGCGAAATTCCGACTTTGTATTTTACACTTAAAATGTCCACATTCAGCTCCCACATTAAAGGACATTTTTGACTGGAGACCAAAAAAACACAAGCAGATCTGTTTTTCCTTTCAAGAACATACTTAGTTTTTTACATTTTTGCTGCTAACAAAAATACAATTTGTTTACTTTTCAAGTTTGCGAATGATTCTGAGCTTAAAGGGGGGTTCCAGGTGACAATCAGGCTAATCAATGAACTTCTACAATGCAAATGTTCCAAAGTCAGAAAATTCACTACATCTTCCTAATCTGTCTACTGTAAACCCTAACAATGAATTTCTTTGATTTGCTCCCTACTGGTCTAAGTACGTATACCATTGAAAGCATTTTGTTTGATCTGTTTGATAACTACAAAAAATGATTGTTTCAGTGGTAAGTGTAACCAGTCAAAATCTAATGTAAAATCCACTCCCACCCCCATTCTAAGCCGATTCTGTCCACCCTGCAAAAGGAATGATGTGTATACTTACCTTTTTTGAAGTCGCTCTGGTCTGGTCACATGATCGGGTTCTAGGACCACCTTCAATGTAGAGGAGGGACAGCCGACAACTGATGCACCATAGTAAGCCTATGGGTGACGTCACTGCCCATGCTCTACAGCCATTGTTGCTGCCTCTCCTCTACACTGAAGTCACTGCTGGAAAGATCATGTGACCGGACCAGAGCAACTTCAAGTATGCCTATCCTTCCTTTTACAGGGTAGCTAGAATATGATTAGAATGGGTTTGGGAGTAGATATAAGCGAGGTTAGGTTTTAACTGGAGTTACACTTTAACCTCCCTGGTGGTATTCCCGAGTGTAGCTCGGGGTAAAGTTTCAGTACCACAAGCGGTAACCCCGAGCTACACTTGGGCTTACCATGCGGCGCTGCTCCACGATCCCTCGATCACTTACCTTGTCCTGCGCTCCTGCGATGTCCCTCCTGCAATGTCCTCTGGCCGATGCCGGCATCCGTCTTCCGGGTTCCGTCCCCTGCGACGTCGGGACGTATGGGGACGGAACTGGCGGGAAATTTGAAAATGACAAAAAGTGGCATTCACTAAATATACTAAAATCGCAAAGTAAAACATTACTATATCAAACCATTTCACATACATTTTGTCCCGAGTGCTTTGTCCTGTGCCCTGCCTGCATTTTTGTCTGTTCTTTCTGCCTGGAAACTAAGAATTGTCCATGGCGTCCAAAAAGCGTCCCTTTAGGTCAAAATCGGTTTTAGAAAAGCTAGAGAACAGCGATAGTAAATCAGAACCACTTGCAGAATTGAGTGATGATTCATGGGGGAAATTCGTCATCAGACACTGAAAACGATTTTGCGACTTTGCTCAGTGATGTGCGAACTTGACGCTATATTTCAAATTTCAGTGTTTTTGGTTTGATTATATTATTGAATTAGATGTATTATTATATTAATATTTTTTATGATTATTTATTAAATTATAATTTCGTGTTTCAAGTTTTATCCTACCCGGGATGTTTGCTAGACTCTTGTTCGGACAGATTTCAGTGAGTTATTCCTAAGAATTACAGGTCTACAATAAAAAAAATACATATTTCCATGCAAAAAAATGTACCGCTTTGAGCACAGAAATATGGACATAATCAGACCGCTAGGGAGGTTAAAGCCCAGCTTTGGACAAAAATAAAAACAAATACTCCTTGCAGTGGGGCTGCACCTACACTGCAAGGGTTAATAGTTTGTTTTCTGTACAGGAAAGGAGAAAGAGTTTTATTGATCCTCCACTCCTCCAGCAGGCAACACTCCCCCAGGATCCTGTGGTGGACTGTCTGTTTGCGTCCTCATGTCCATTGCAGGGCTAAGGACTCTGCTCTGGTCTTAATGATGTCAGAACCAGAGCTTTTTTCAGTGGGAACACGGGGAATGCAGTTTTGGCACCTCCAGCACTGAATGTATGTAATGGCAAAGGGTGCTGAGGTGTGCTGGAAGGTCTGTTGATGCTGGCTGCTGGGGATCTATTGTCAGTGAAGGGGATCTATTTTTCCTTGGTGGTCTATTGTTGCTGGGGGTGGGTCTATTGTTGATGGTGTGGGTTCTATTGTTGCTGGAAGGGTCTATTGTTGCTGGCTGCTGAAGAGTCAATTGATGCTGGCTTATGGGAGTTCTTTTGTTGCTGCTGGGGGACTATTGTTGGGGTGGTATTTTATTGTGGCGTTCCATTGTTGCTGGGGGGGGGTCTATTGCTGCTGGCTGTGGAGGATCTATTTTACTGCTTTTCTAGTTATCATTAATAAATTTCATAGAAGTTACTTGGCTCCACAAAATGATACTTGGCTCTGTACTCTCTAAAAGGAGCAGCACTAGGAGGTGGGTAGGGGGTGGAACCAAAGAACGGTGCTTGGAGGTGGTTCGAGGGAAGGGGGAGTTTCTGCACTTATTCTCTGAGAAAAAAAGCTTTGGTCAGAATCTTAGAGGAGCATGGAGGTGCAGATGTGGTGGTGGGGCATCTAACTTCGGGGAGGAGCAGAGGATCCATTAAGTAAATCTCCTTTTATTGTTCCTCAAGACATAAATGAGCAATTAACCCTTGCACTTTGGGCAAATCTAAAATGCAAGGGATATTTTTTTTATTTTCCTGGAGTTGAACTTTGAAGTAAACAATCAAATGGGAATATAGCAGAACAGCCAGGGGACAACTGAAAAAGGAAGCTCGGAGAAGGAAATTAAAAAAAAAAAAATCACCTGCACATAAGTGTATTTCTAACAGTTGTAGGAAAACAATTTAATATAATATCACTTTAAGAGCCAAAGCTGTACCGCGTCCAGTGCACAGTTCTTGTGATATCCCAAGGAGTCTAAGCAGCCTTTTTAATTCTTGACTAGAAAGGATTCGTCAGCTTCGGTCCTTAAACCTTCAATAATGACACCAAAACTGTGTGACATGGGTTTAAACGGCTACCGCAGCCCTTTTATTAACGAATGAATAAATAACATACGGTAACTTAAAACAATTTCAAACAATGCGAATTTTACAATGTAACCAGGAGGGGGTCTTTGGGTGTCCCTAAGGCACAATTTGTGACTATAAGCGCCTATGTCCTCAGCTGCACCCCAACTGGCTCGAAGACACACAGATTCTTAGATTTTCCCCCAGGGGACCTAGCTCCTGTGAGAACCACCAATAACCACAAAGTGGGAACACCATACCCTAGATGGGCACCAAATTTTAACAAATATTGTTAATCACTGACCCCCCAAAGACCCCCAGACTCGCCAAGTTGCTGTGTCAAATAACCTTAATTTTTTCTTTTTTCTTGAAATAGAAATCAATAACTACCAAAATACTACCCCCACCACCACGAATACAGCAGGACCCCAGAACCCAGGGAGGGAAGGAGAGGAAGTTTCCTCTTCACCTGAACTTTCGGGAATGAATACCCAGCAACCTTTGCAATGGACCACCCTTGTGGCTCCACCCAGCCCATCTGACCCTCAGCTTCCAAACAGGTAAGAACTACGCCCCTACCTCTCCTTACCTATTCTGACCCTTCTCTGAGCTGTTCCTTAGTCATGCTGACCCTGTGTCCATTTTTCTTCTCCGGGTCGCACTTTTCTTGTAATACAGAATGTTGCACTCATCATTGTAACGATGAGGATGGGGAGGGATTCTTTAGTTTAGAAACTGGGCAGTGGTGACACCATTTCTTGCTTTTTCAGTCCAGCAAAAGCTCAGTGTTATTGGCCCAGGACAGATAATTAAAAGTGGAGCACATTTCTGGAGGTTTAACAGGTATTATTTTCTGTACTTGCAGGGTGTTTAAAGGGTAAGTTTACTTTTACAGAAGACGATTCATATAATGTACACAGCCCCTTTTGCATCATAATGCCCACAATGATGAGTGGTCATTAGACAGCACAGCCATATGACTGAGCTAACCAATGACAATCTCCTCTGAGAATTATTCTTCCAGAAGCAAAAAGGATTCTCACTGGTCAGCATAGTCATGTGGTCACACTGACCAATGACCACTTGACCCTTACAGGCCCTGGGGCTGCTAGTGCATGCTCCATGCTCATTCCTGCATGCCAGTGGTGAGCTAGCCTTACAATCATCAATACATATATAAGGGATGTCAGGTATGCTTTCTTTCATATAAAACCGTATGCACTAAATCCGTGTTTGCAAATAAGACACGAAAAAAATGAAATGCCAGGACTCTTATCAGAAAAATATATTTATAAAACTGCTCAGAGGATATGTCACACAACACAGCTACAATTTAATTTATAACATGTGCCTTTCCCATTAAAAAGCAGTTCTTGAGGTCTATGCAAGGGACTTTGCCTATGCAAGTGTCAAAGAGCAAGCCTCAGAAAAGCACACCAGGAGAATGATGCCACCTGAGCCTTCTGCAGGCTACAAGAAGCTTTTTATTATTATACAGGATTTGTATAGCGCCAACAGTTTGCTCAGCGCTTTACAATATAATGGGAGACAGTACACAAGACAGTACAGTAACAATACGATTCAATACACGAGGGGTTCGAGGGCCCTGCTCCTTGGAGCTTACAATCTAGGAGGGAGGGGAGAGTAGTACAGGAGGAAATAGCTGTGGGGGATGAAGTGGTAGGAAGAGTGGAGGAGTTCAGTAATTAGCTGAGGGCAGGGTAGGCTTCCCTGAAGAGATAGGTTTTCAGAGTGCGCCTGTCAAGGTCCTACCTTTTCCCTGAGGTTATGTTACTCCATGTGCTGGCGTCCATCTTGGATTCTGCTGTGCATGATGGGAATCCTTTTATGCCTTCAGGTTTCTGTGGTCCATCCCCCAGAGGGGTGTGGCTGATGACATATAAGCCTGTGGCCCGCACATGCTCTTTGCACTTGTGTCTTGTGTCTTTGTGTTGCTATTACTCTGTTCTGACTCTCGTGACTCTCCTGGTATCTGATTCGGCTTGTGACTTGACTATTCTTTGTATTCTCCTTTGATCTGATCCTCTGTTGCTGAACCCGGCTCGTGACCTGTGATTCTCGTCTGCTGTCCTGTACTGTTTTGTCCTGTTGTTGTTGACCCCGGCTTGTCTGACTACTCTTTTGTCTCTTCCACCAGCTACACGCCATTGGCGGCGGCCATTACCGCAGCTGAGGTGTCTCGGGGGCCGCAAACTGGTTCCTGGCTGCGTCAAGTCCATCCCCACCATCAGGGGCCCTGGTGAAGGGCAGCCTGGGACTTAGACTCCGCGCCCTGAGGGACTTCGGTCTGTGGGTGGTGGTTGTCGTCAGCCAGTGCGTTACATTGTTAGGCTTGCCTGTCCGTTCCTCAGCTCCTGCCCTGACAGCGCCTAAAGGTGAGGAGAGTAGGTGATAGTCTGATGGATTGGGGTATGGAGTTCCAGAGGATGTGGGAAGTCCTGGAGACAGGCATGGGAGGAGAAGACCAGGGAACTAGAGAGTAGGAGGTCTTGTGAGGAGCGGAGAGTACGTTTTGGGTGGTATTATTCTAGCTTTTTGGCAAGTCATTGAGTACAGGCTACAGCAGGGGGCTGAGCTGCGTATGACAACTAGAGATGAGCGAATCGAACATGACGAAGTGGAATTCGTTTCGAAGATTAGGAATATTCGATTCGCGCCGAATCCGAAAATTAGCAAACTTCGGATGCACGAATCGAATTTTCCCAAAAATGGCGGCGACATGTGTGGCGACGGAGCGGGGATCTCTGGGAAGGCGCGCAGACAAGGCGCGCTGACCCATAATGCATTCATTCATGACATGTGATCGCATTAGCCAATCAGCAGCCAGCCAGCCAGCACTGTGTAATGGTGGAGCTATTAAATCGCGGCCATCTTAGAATTCTCCATTACCTCCGGTTATTCAAGAGAGACAGACCTCTGTGTATTAGGGACAGAGTTAGGGCCACAGAGACTTTAGGGACACAGAATCGTTACTCAGGGACACAGAATTGTTACTCAGGGACAGACACAGAATTGTTACTCAGGGACACAGAATTGTTACTCAGGGACACAGAATCGTTACTCAGGGACACAGAATCGTTACTCAGGGACACAGAATCGTTACTCAGGGACACAGAATCGTTACTGAGGGATACAGAATCGTTACTGAGGGACACAGAATCGTTACTCAGGGACACAGAATCGTTACTCAGGGACACAGAATTGTTACTCAGGGACACAGAATTGTTACTCAGGGACACAGAATTGTTACTCAGGGACACAGAATCGTTGAATTAAAGAGTATGTCAGACAACACGCAGAGGAGTGGCAGAGGAGGCAATGTTTCAGGAGCGAGCAGACG